CTATGGTAAGTAAAGTAAATTGATCGATATTTCTATGGTTCTATGGACTCTCGATATAATAGACTCTCGATAGGATATATCGATAGTTCTATGGACTTAGGTACGCCCATGCATGATAAAGGAAGTTAGAGATCAAAAATTAATATAATAAAAACTATTTAATATAAAAACATATTTATGTTGTGTCCTGCATAAAGTACCTTTTATGTACTACAGAAATATGCACAGAGCTGTATTTACGTCTGAAGTTATTATATTACCGAGTAATAGAATTAAATTTTAGGTCTAAATATGTTATCACTGTAAACCTCGACTGTTTGCGACCACCCAAGCGCTGCAGACAGTGTCAATTGCTATTTGACCTTATGTTTACATACATGCATTGATTTGTTTATGCATTACAACAAGCTGACCTAATATTATGCGATTAGGGCGCAGGTCCATTATCTTGCTTTATAGGACCTTGTTTCTTTCAGCAGAGCTAAGTTTGATTAAGACATATGATAAATAATATGGACGGGACGGTACATATAGCATTATTATTTTGGGATTTAGTCCATTATATATATATATATATATATATATATATATATATATATATATATATATGTATATAGACAAGTGCATTATTATTATACAATAACATTATACATCTAGTTAATTTTAAACTTTCGCGTTGTTTACACATATTTTAAATACAGAATGGGGACTTAAAGCAGTAGGTATGTAGGTACTATTTCGCAGGTCGCGTACTGCGCGGTTTCAGAGATGTTTCCTTCCACGAACACTCAGGTTATGGAATAAGCTCCCTGCCGAGGTTTTCCCAAGAGACTACAGCATGGGGTTCTTCAAAAGGGGGATAAAGAAGTTTCTTCATTATCGGCAACGCACACGTAATACCTCTAGTATTGCAGGTGTTCATAGGCTACGGTAACCACTTACCATCAGGTGGGCCGTATGCTTGTTTGCCACCTCAGTGGTATAAAAAAAATTATCTGTAAACACTTTTACATCGTGTTAAATCCCAATTATGTATTTAAAATATTATACACCTGCCTGTATCTTATAATAAATTTACTATTGTAATCTTTTGGAGGAAACAATAAAGAGTATCTATTTATCTATCTAACATACTTAGGACATGGTAAAAAGGGAACATTAAAGATAACGGAATAATATGATTCACATCACTCATGTGGTCCAGTATCAACACAGTAACCCAATTGAGTCATCACGGAAACTCGAATAAGGATTGAAAGTCGCGTACGTTCACACTTCCGCAAATTAACGAAACATTTAAAAATACAGCTTGCCGAACAAACTTGGGCCGCGAATCACCTATCGTCCGCATAACGCGTCTGTATAACGATATTGTAAAAACCAAGCCTGAACTTGATATTCACAACGATAGTCGCTCTGTGTTCATGGCTAAATTAAAATGTTGATGTACCTCGCCATTTCATTATATTTATTTATAATTTATAATAATTTAAATACAATTTCCATTATTTATATTATATTGTTATTCATATTGTTAATATCTTTACTCATATAATGACATTTAATAATTTAATTATATTTTAATGTTTATCGAACACAAGGCATGCTGTGGTTGCCTATAAATGTAAGAAGAGTTAGATCTAATCTACCAGTGTATTTGTATTGAAATGTTTAGCTGTATCTTATGTTGGTAATCCTATAAATAAATAAACATAAATGAAGAAATATTGCCCGTATGCAAAAGTTTCAAAATATTCAAGTTATGGAAGATTAAGAGGGCTATGCTTGGAATTTCTTTGCATAATAAAGTCCAAATGGAGGATATCCGGAAACGAACCAAAGTGACTGACACAGACCGAAGGATAAGCAAGTTGAAATGACAATTGGCCGGTCATATAGCTCTAAAAATCGATAACCGATAGGAAAGAAAGATTCTTGAATTAGTGACGACTTCAAATCCAAAGATGGCTCAGGACCGTTCTTTATGGCGGTCTATGGGAGAGGCTTATGTCCAGCAGTGGACAGACAATGGCTGAAATGACGATGATAAAATGAATAAATGAGGAAAAAATTAATTAAAGTATAATATTATTCAATTAGGTTATGAACCAATCGATCTCAATCAATCAGTCGCGTATAAATCTGACTACTCTTATTTTAATGTCACTTGAAACGACAAATACTCGTCGTACAGTTTTTTTTTTAGAAATTTTCAAAAATAAATAAACTCAGTAACGGGGTAACTTACAAATTACAACGAAATCTCTCGAAGCCTTTACCTTTTATTGATTTTTATATTTTTATATCCGTCTGTAGGTGTCGTGTTCTTAGTTTCTGGCTTGCTATTTATAAATAAACTGACTTTGTAGGGTTTCACCAAGCTGGTTTGTCGTTGCCATAACTTCACTGCGTAGTATAGAGGTTATATTATTTTAATACTTGTTACGCGCGAATTTGATTTTGCTCATGTCATAAACTTTTGATTTCTCCATCAAATTTATTTTTATTTATTTATTTAAATAACTTTTTTTCATTTAAGAGTTTCCTCTTATCGGTGTAACTAATTCATGCATCTTCTTCCAGCCAGTTCTATCCCAGGCCATATCCTCCTATAGACCTCCGTATACGACATGACACCTAGTGTTTCTTTTATCTGTCCCATGCAGTTATTCCTCGATTTTCCCCTTCCTCTTTTGCCTATCTATTTTACCTTCTAATATATTCTTTATAAAATTGTCGTGTCGTATAAGATGGCCCAGCATTTTGCCTCTTCTAAATAGCATAAATTGGCTAAAATAAAATAAGGTGCAAAAGGTGGACTTAATGCTAGTAGCATTCTCTACTAATCAACCAACGCAGTACTTCATTATTGGGTTAGGTAAAGAAATTTAATCCCAGTTTAGTGGGTATATGTAACAAATTGCCGTGTGGTCCCCGCATAGAATGGACCATCCCTTCCTTTCCCGTGGGTGTCGTAAAAGGCGACTAAAAGAACTTAACGGTCGAGGGATAGGCAGCAGCGTCCTTCTTTAAACATCAAATCCTGAATAAGGTTGCCCACCCGCCTTCCAGGCGTGACAATTACTGGCATAACCTCCTTATGCGGGAGGCGTATGTCCAGCGCTGGACAGTTAATGGCTGATATATATATATATATAAAATATAACAATTATAACTCCCATTTTCCTAATCTTTATGTCTTTATGTTATATCCGCCATTTTAAATTCAAATTATTGTTCTAAATTCAAATTTATAAATGTCATGTTAATATTATTATAAAGTACTTTATTTTTACCTCTTTCCGTCCGGTGTAGGAGTAACTTATTTTGGTTACGGGCGTTCTATTGAATTGAATTTTAGCATAAATTCCTACTAGTAATTGCGGAAATGAGTTTGTGAGCTCTTGGTACCTTAAAATTGTAATCAATTCAAATTTAGTATATACATAATATTTGGATATTTCCTCATTTATATATATACTCACAGAAAAAAATCAGCAGCAGCCTAAAAATTGTTCGTTAATGTAGTTCAGTTATTGATGAATGCTCTTAGTAGTATTATACAAAAAAAAAAAAAGAAAAATTGGAAACGCGAACAAAAATTGGAGTGAAGGCATGAACGAAGATTGCTCGCCTAACTTCACCTTTTAGATTTTAGATTATATAGATAGAGTGTCCTCCATAAAAACGCTTCGAAAAAAGCGGGTCAAGTTTTTCGTACAATTTTGCGTGGTAAATAGATACGAGTTTTTATCAGCTAATTTGACAATTAACTGACAAAAGTTTGACCCGTTTTTGAGACCCGATGCTCTATCCATATAATTTAAGCTCCACCTTTACGTTAGACATGAAGATAAGGACGTAATTCATTTGTCTGGTAATGAGGGTCATACTACAATAATATGATTATTTTTTTTTTAATATTTGCTATGCTAATATAATTTGGCTGATTTCCTAGCATTTTCTAGTTGTGAAATAAAAAAAAAAGAGTTATTTATATATTATCTATTTGCCCATTTTTTTTATTGTGTTTTTTAGTGAAAATATTTGAACATTAAATTATTTATAACTCGCCGATGCCCGCGACTTTGTCCGCGTGGTATTTGTTATTCCTGTTTAGTATGTATCGATGTATGTACCTACCTATTTATTATGTCTGGGAATACTGGATCAAAATTAACAAATGACGTGTCGTTCTCACTCTTTGTTTTAAGTTAAAATGACTTTACTTAAGTAGGTTGTGTACTAAGCTATATAAGTTACTGTCGTTTTTTAACTATCTCACGGAAAGTTGTAATTTTCCGTAGTTCAAAGTATCTAAAATGTTGACCGGTATCGTAAGGTACCACCATGCAAAATTTCATTTAAATCGGTCCAACAGTTTTGGAGATTAGCCTGTACAAAGGATATGTTCTAATTCACTTCTAATATGCTCCTGATTCAGTTTTTAGCGTTTTTTTTTTCTATGTACACACATTCGACTACTACAGTTACATTATATTATATGTATAAATTAAATAGATAATTGATTTGTGAATTGTAAATTTTTGTAGATATATTATAAAAATATGAAAATCGTATTTTAACAAATTTTCACTAAATTTTATTACTAATTTAATAAAATATTGTTTTAAATAAAATATTAATATAAAAATTCGGAGGGGTTTAGATTTTAATAATTTATTAGTATATAATTACGTATTTAAAAAAAATAAATTTGAATAACACTAGAATATTCTCGACAGTTTCTACACACAAACACACACTCATACACACAAATAAAGTTTACCTAAAATGTTTGACGTACCGAATTGAAAGCGTACGAAATAATAGTTGGTGGTATTGTCGCGCAAACGTCAGTGCTGCCATTGACGTGCCATTTAATCACGATTTAACGCAATCAGTTGAGTACCTCGTGTCACGTCTGTGTGAGCTACTCTTTGTCTCGAAAACTTGGAATGGGGTTAGTTATGCGCGCAGGACAGGGCGCAGCGCCGCGCCGGCAGTCCGCCCGCGACGCCGGCCGCCCCCGAACGTCGCGTCGCACCATCGTTCGCCACACACTGTAATTATAGTGCCCACCACTCCACATGTACACTTGCGAGCAAACAAATGCCAAAGTGGTGCTGTGAAAAATCAAGTGTGCCGATTGACAGCTCTGTGTTTGAATTGATTTGTGATTGGTTTTTGCAATACAATTCTGCCGGTTAGCTGCGAACGCGGTGAGTTTGTGCCGGCTCTGTTACATTATTGTTGATAATCTCTAATTTTTCCAGCGGGTTATTTGTTTTCCGGTAGATGGCGTTGGCACTACGCGTCCGTATTGCAGTTGTAATGGTTTTGCATGTTATCCGCTTAAATACTGTTATTATGTAACTTATATGTATATAATTATAAACAGATGCAAATGTCATTTTTTATTGAACGTAGATTAATTGTCTGGAATATAGATAGATAGATACTCTTTATTGTTTCCTCCAAATTAATAAATAATGAAATACAATGCTGACTATGCAACTTTCTGTAGTAATGCCTGTGTAGGTTATTTTTTTTAATAATATAGCTACGCTCCCGGTTTTCCCCGGATAAGCAATCGGAAGTATTTCTCTGTTTTCCTTGTTGTGACTATTATTAGTCGGTTTACTTTATTATATCATTGCTTCAATCTAGTTTTAGATATATCGTTTTTTTTTTCTCAATTTATTTATAAAGTGCAAATAGATCTAATGAGTGAATGTTCATTAATTCCTTGTTAAACAAATTTTTAAGCGACTTTATAAAAGAGGAATTTCTAATTCTCGCAAAGTTTTTATTTTATTCTGTGTATTTTACGCGCTTTCTTCGTTATTTATAAATCGATACATATGACTCTTTTTACAGTCGCTAGTTTTTACTTCCGTGTTGGTTTCATATACATTTTGTTACAATAGAAAAATCAGTGATTTAAAATAATATTAACCTCATTATTAGAAGAAAGAATATATATATATATATATATATATATATATATATATATATATAAAAGAATAAGGTAAAATTGTCATTCAAAAAACGTTTATGTCCACTTTTATATAATACTTTATCCGAGCAGTAAGTACTATCAGTTATATATGTGTATCTTATATATGTGTAAGTATATTTGTTATTTATATATATATTTATTCGTTTATATATGTAATTTTAGTATGTATGTATATCAATAATTACTAGTACCGCATTCGAGTATTCTGATACTTCCCTATGGTTGAGTGGGAGAGAATGCTTTTAGCATTAAGTCCGCAATGTACACATATATGTACTAATAAATAAATAAATAAATAATAAATAAGGACTACAGATTATAAATATTACTTTGACTGATTATTAATTTAATTTATTTTTTGATTAAAACGTTATTCTAATTTATTTGTAAATTAAATAAATATATTAATTTAATAAGGGGTAGGTTTTTATTATTATGTCATTTTTTTGGTGGGTGAAAATGGTATGGTAACCCCGCCTGCGCTAACGGAATACGCTGGTGGAGCACCAGTGAAGGGTGATAGATGAGAATGAAAACAGGCCAGTTAGCCCATCATGATGAATTCATCAGGAATTAACCATGATAGTTTCCAGGGGGAACCGCGAGGAGGTCGACCTGGTTGGGTATATTGCTAGCAATGGGATTCTCAGTCTCCATTACTAACAATCCCTTTTCCTCTTTTTTTATGTCATTAGGTACTTCAATTACGACGACATACCGCTTAACAAGTAAAACCCATCAATGAATGACGGTATGTTAAATAAATTTTTAATCAGCCAGCGGAACTTTGTCTGGAAGTTGATTTTTCGGCAGGATTTTATTCCGCAAAGAAAATTAAGCCTTCAATTCTCATCAAATTATTATGACTTTTAACCAAGTTGGTCATATTAATTAAATAAATAATAAAAAATACCTAATAATTAAAAAAAAATATCGATACGAAAAATAATTAAGACATCAATGAGCTCCCTACTAAGGTTTTCCCAAAAGACTACAGCATGGGGTTCTTCAAAAGGGGGGGAAAGAGGTTTCTTCAGGGTCGGCAACGCGCGCGTAATGCCTCTGGTATTGCAGGCGTTCATAGGCTACGGTAACCGCTTACCATCAGGTGGGCCGTATGCTTGTTTGCCACCTCGGTGGTATAAAAAAAAAACATCATGTAAGAATTACATAATAACAATACGAATTGAGAGTTTTCTCGATTCAAAAATTGTTGTGAAACAATATTTTTTGTTACTAAAATTTGTGACCACTTCACTCGAACACTTCTACTATCTGTCAATTGGGACATATCCGGGTCAACAGTATCAAAGTGAAGTGTGATTAGAGCAGGTCCTAATGGGAACAGTCGATTCACAATGTCCTGGGACAAAATCATGCCCCTACCTGTTTTGTGCCATTAACCCCATTCACCGTGTCATCCACCTCTCACCCTAGCATTCTACACGTGTAGCCCTCGCTGCGGATCTCGTTTTCGGAAAACCCATGCGAGGGTGGACGGGATTTTGCACCTGAAATCGTAATTTCATTTTGTGTGTAGAACAATTTCATTGTTGTTTTCCTAATTTTAAACTACTTGGATAGAAGTTTTTTTTTTTTGAAATTAGAATTTCGAATCTCATATAAATATCTACTTGATTTACTTCAAAATTGTTTTTTAAATGAACAGATCTTTTGTGGCTTCTATACCGTTATAATAATTGTGCTCCAGTCTCTCTCTGTCTTTACAAACACGTCTCGCTTCATCGGAAACGCAGAAACGATTGCCAAATTTTACCATTACATAACCATATTATTTGCTTTATCGACCTCATAAATCCTGTCTGGAGACCCAATTTTTTTTCGTCTCCCTAAATCTCTTGCATTATCCACTTCCATTATTTATCTTACGCATCCGATAATCATGATTAGTCCCATATCATCATCGTCATCTTTATCATTGAAAACTAAGTTATTAATGTCCCTTTTAAGTCAATATTCACTAGATTGTAAATGTACCTATTTCAATGTATGTTTTAACTTTATAGTTTTACCTCTTTATTCATAAAACATTCGTGTTTCTACTGTGAATCAGTTGTGTTTGCACGGCTGTGTTTCGGTCTGAAGAGATGGGATGTGGCGTGAATTTACAGGGTATAGAGGTATAACATCTGAGTCCTCAGGAATGGCAACGCATGGGGGGTATCCTGGGCGTAACAGTATACTCTGTTATGTCCATGGTACTGCTTATGTCTATAGGCGACGGTTACCACTTTCCATCAGGTGGGCTTCTTTGCCATTTTAAGTTGCATAAAAAATAATCTTCTACAAATGTAATTAATGAAAGTGTTTTGTAACACTTTCTTTCAAATTGGGAATTTAGTGTAAACTGCGGTTTAAAAAATAAAATTATGTATGTGTTTAAATTTTATTGGCTGATAAATTATTTTGTTTGCGCCTTTCCCTATATGTATGCATAAAAGGTTATAGGTGCAGGAACTCTTCAATAATTCGTTTATTTTTAATTTTGACGAAACGTGAATTTATTATAAGGTCCGATTCGTTAGCTAGTTACGCGTATATCGAGAGCGAGCCAGTGAAGTTCTTGTCTATCGCCGCAGTAGCAGACCGTCGAAGTCTCACTTCGCTTCGGTGACATTATCATTTTTGCTTAATAGATGGCGCCAACAATTTAATAATGTAATTGTCATAAGTGTTGTTAAAGCTATATATTTGACTTAATAAATAAAAGTAATGTAATTACACTTTATTTGTCACGTTTGGGTAAGGGTACTGTAGCAGTCGTTAGGTAAATATTTTAATATTGAACTAGTGTGCCTACATCGAGGTAATTGACCGGTGTACCGTGGTTTGTTCATGCTGTTTCTTTTACAACACAGAGGGCAAACGAGCATGCGGGCCACCTGGTGGTAAGTGATTACCGACGCCCATGATCACCCGCAACACTAACGGCATTGCAGGTGTGCTGCCGGTCTTTTAAAAAGGAATATGCTCTTTCCTTGAAGGTTATGTTGTCGTATCGGTTCGGAAATACTGCTGTTGACATGCCCTCGTGCTATGTTAATTCATACTGCAGCTAGCTCTATTCACATAAGTAGTAAAAGTGCATAAGCATAGTAATTAATGAAATGAAATGAAATGAGATTAAAATGAAATGAGATTGAAATGAAATGAAATGAGATTTATTCGTAAAAAAACTGTAGTTTCTTGACTAATATTAATATTATAGTTATATAAGGGTACAGTAATTATGGTTTTAGAACTGAGCTCCGAAATAGGTTAATATAATATAATAATCTGTGTTAAGGGGTCACAGCCCAACCCCCTTTAGTATTATGGGGAAAATAATATTGATATAGAATGAAAGAAAGAAATGTTTTTATTCAAGCAAACTAAGAATTAAACATTTTTGCTTAAACTCTTTTTTTTTTTTTCATTTTCGTCCATTCGGAATGTTCGTGTGACGCGTACCTACTACTTCTTTTTGAAAATTCTTTTTTTTTTTATCTGAAAGTATATTCTTACAGATTCGTTCCGTAGAAATTTTATCAAAATCAGTGCAGTAGTTTAGTTAATAGATCAAAATAACTAGTTTTGTGATAATTGAAAAAAAAAGAAAAGAGCCTTTTAAAAGGCCGGCAGCACACCTGCAATGCCGTTAGTGTTGTGGGTGATCATGGGCGGCGGTAGTCACTTACTATCAGGTGAGCAGCATGCTCGTTTGCCCTCTGTGTTATATAAAAACAAAAAACATTTTTTTGTGAGACACAATCTTTAATTATATTTTTGTTTATTATCACAAAAATATCAGAATTACAGAAAGTATGTTATATTAGCATTTAGAAATCACGCAGGTTTATATTAATGCAAAATTTTATAGCTAATTTGACCTATGTTTTTGAGAAAATGTGTTTCACTGATAGAACATAGCCTTAAAAGGGCGCTGATTTCATCTTGTAGGTATATAGCAACGTACATATATGAGATGGGTTTAGTATTGTATTCGGTGACATGCAGTGTTTACGCACATTAGACGCAAGGCGGCTATTTATAGTTCCGCCCCAAATAGCGGGTCGAAGCTAGGGACGGTCAAGTCAACTATAGGGTCCCGCGAAACAAACAAAACCACTGGCGTACTTATATATAGACAATTTATAAGTTCTATTGAACAACCTACACATATAAGGAGGGGGGGGGATT